TGGAGACAAAGAACTTTGTCCGTGGAAGCAAAGGGGGGAATGTACGAGAGTATAATTATACCAACACTCTTATATGGGTGTGAAGCATGGGTGATAAATGTTGCAATAAGGAGAAGGCTGGAGGCAGTGGAGATGTCATGTCTGAGGGCAATGTGTGGTGTGAATATAATGCAGAGGGCTGAGGAGGGGTTGTTGATGTGGTTCAGACACAGAGAGAATGAAACAAAACAGAAGGAGTTTCAAAGAGTAAATCTGTAGTGGAGGGAGGCAGTAAAGGAGGTTTTGTGTGCAAGGGGCTTGGACTTCTAGCAAGCATGCATGAGTGTATTTGATAGGAGTGAATAGAGACAAATGGTTTTTAATACTTGACATGCTGTTGGTGTGTGATCAAAGTAACATTTATGAAGGGATTCAGGGAAACCAACAGGCCGGACTTGAGTAATGGAGATGGGAAGTACAGTCTGCCCTCTGACGGAGGGGTGTTAATGTTGCCGTTTTTTTCATCATCATTCACTCCATCACTGTCTGGCAAGACAGTGATGGAGTGAATGGTGATCAAAGTTTTTCTTTTTCGGGCTGATTCCCACCCTGCCTTGGTGGGAATCAGCCGATGTGTTAATAAATAAAAATAAATATACTATTACTATCAAAAAATGTTACCTATCATATTTATTCCAGAATAATATTAGGTAAAAAAGTGACATAACAAAAAGATTAGGTGATGAAAGATTGGATATCAGATTGGAGGGAGAGAGTATGGAGGAGGTGAATGTATTCAGATATTTGGGAGTGGACGTGTCAGCGGATGGGTCTATGAAAGATGAGGTGAATCATAGAATTGATGAGGGGAAAAGGGTGAGTGGTGCACTTAGGAGTCTGTGGAGACAAAGAACTTTGTCCTTGGAGGCAGAGAGAGGAATGTATGAGAGTATAGTTTTACCAACGCTCTTATATGGGTGTGAAGCATGGGTGATGAATGTTGCAGCGAGGAGAAGGCTGGAGGCAGTGGAGATGTCATGTCTGAGAGCAATGTGTGGTGTGAATATAATGCAGAGAATTCGTAGTTTGGAAGTTAGGAGGAGGTGCGGGATTACCAAAACTGTTGTCCAGAGGGCTGAGGAAGGGTTGTTGAGGTGGTTCGGACATGTGGAGAGAATGGAGCGAAACAGAATAACTTCAAGAGTGTATCAGTCTGTAGTGGAAGGAAGGCGGGGTAGGGGTCGGCCTAGGAAAGGTTGGAGGGAGGGGGTAAAGGAGGTTTTATGTGCGAGGGGCTTGGACTTCCAGCAGGCATGCGTGAGCGTGTTTGATAGGAGTGAATGGAGACAAATGGTTTTTAATACTTGACGTGCTGTTGGAGTGTGAGCAAAGTAACATTTATGAAGGGGTTCAGGGAAACCGGCAGGCCGGACTTGAGTCCTGGAGATGGGAAGTACAGTGTCTGCACTCTGAAGGAGGGGTGTTAATGTTGCAGTTTAAAAACTGAAGTGTAAAGCACCCTTCTGGCAAGACAGTGATGGAGTGAATGATGGTGAAAGTTTTTCTTTTTCGGGCCACCCTGCCTTGGTGGGAATCGGCCAGTGTGATAAAAAAAAAAAAAAAAAGTGACTGCGACCATTACAGAAAACATTGTGTTATGCACCTGAAGGGTAACTATAGATCACTCTTATCCTATGCAAAGACTGAAAAAAGTGCAATTAAAAAAAATAAATAAATAATCAGCTAGGCATGTGTTTCCTGGAATATCTCGGAAGTAAGTCATTGACCTGTTTCATGTTGTATTACCGTTAATAATAAACAGATGGAAAGGAATTTCCCAGCAAACATAAAACTGAATGTTTTAATTTTGAGTGGTGACACTTTTGAAGTGTCAGTAAGAGGTGATTCCTCAATTAGCAATGAATTCGTTTACCGACAGTGAGGAGAGGCTGTAATGTAATTGGTCTAAAATAGTCAAAGTGGACAAAACTGCCAATGCATAAATATCAATGACACAGTAAAATTCGTGATAGTGTAATTTCATCAATTTTCCATCAAATTTCGTACTTTTTGTTTTATTATCTTCAGAAAAAAATTCTCTACTATTTCATAAGAAAAAATAACAAAAAAAATTTTTTTTAAATTCTTTGATCCTGTGGACAAAGCACAGATCTATGGCTTGGACCCTCAAAGGGTTCATGCATTTGGAATGCTTGTTTGCAAAGAAAATAGTTTTCACTCAAACAAAATACAGTAGACCCTTGGAATACATGACCCCTGAAAATATGAATTCAACAACACACGACTGAGAAAAAGCAACCATTATCTGATTTGCATTGAAAACTATGATGCATGTACTGTAATCTGTGAAGAGCTCAAGATTAATTCCCAAAACTCCTGGTAGGTGCACAGTGGGTACATTTACCTCTAGGCCCATTTGAGCCTAGAGGGTGAAGCCACTGCTGTTTGAGGAGGCTCTTTGTCACCCCTTATTGTCAAACCACCCTGCTATTAACAGATGCTTTCTGAAAAACTGGTGTAACTGACCCAGTGTGATGACCAAATAAATGATTTTGATCATGATCACCCCATCTCATCTCTGGATATTAACCCTTTCAAGGTTTCCGACATACTAGTACGCATGAATTCTAGTGTCTTCAAATCTAGTGAGAGAAAGCTGGTAGGCCTATATATGAAAGAATGGGTCTATGTGGTCAGTGTGCACAGTATTAAAAAAAACCTGCAGCACACAGTGTGTAATGAGAAAAAAAAACTTTGACCGTGTTTTTGGTTTAAAACAGCGACTTTGCACTGTACAGTGGACCCCCGGTTAACGATATTTTTTCACTCCAGAAGTATGTTCAGGTGCCAGTACTGACCGAATTTGTTCCCATAAGAAATATTGTGAAGTAGATTAGTCCATTTCAGACCCCCAAACATACACGTACAAACGCACTTACATAAATACACTTACATAATTGGTCGCATTCGGAGGTAATCATTATGCGGGGGTCCACTGTATTTTCGTATGGTATTTATTGTTGTATTCTAGTTTTCTTGGTCTCATTTTATAGAATGGAAGACATATTACAGAAATTGAGATGATTTTGATTGGTTTCACAATGAAAAGTACCTTGAAATTGAGCTGAAAGTAGCAGAAATGTTCGATTTTTGCCAAAGTTCAAAAGTAAACAAATCATGCCACGCGTCCAATACACATCAACTGGTGAATCTAATATTCTTTCACAAATGCGCTGATATTATTAATACCATTTCTACACTAATGCAGTAGTCTGCATAACAGTAAACCTTCTATTTTTTGTGAGAATAAAAATTCAAAGTGGAAAACAAAAGAAATGTTATTTTAGTGTCAGGAATGTCTGTCTTGTTTATTCTGGACCCTATTTGGATATTGGCATCTTTTGAAATTTGTGTGAAACTGGCAAAATTGCTAATTTCTGACCACTTCATTGGATAGTTGAAATTGGTAAATGGGTGGTTTCTTGTACTCATTCAATAGAAAAAATGGAGTTCTAGCAAAATAGTTACGATTTTTGTCGACTAGTACACTGGAATTGGCCGAAAATAGGGCTCAAAGTGGGTGAAATCGCCGATGCATAAACATTGTCGAGACCGCTAACTTCGCGAGAGCATAATTCCCTAAGTTTTCCATCAAATTTGTACCATTTGAGACAATGAGAAGAAAACAGTGTACAGACAATAGTCCACAATGTGGCCTGCTGAAGAGAACAAGATCAATACAGCTTAAGATGGAATAATTTGTGAATGTGTGAACAGAGGAAAAACAGAGAAATCTTCCCCACTTAAATGTCAGATAATAAAGCAGAAAAGACCACCTTAATACGAAAGTGTGTAAGAAGGCAGGGAAACCTTCAGAAGTGTATATTTTTGGTGCTAGTTGGTGTGATAGATTTAAACACCATAGTCACATTTCATAATATATTTTAGTAACAATAGTATTTCAGCCGATCATGCAGCTGGAAGGAATTTCCCTGCTAAGTTTGTGGAAATTATTTCCAGAGAGGGTAATGCTGCCACACAAACAACACACACACACAAAAAAAAAAAAACACTTTCTCAAAGAAACAAGAAGTGAAGATATGATCTTAACTGCAGTGCAGTTGTTGGTTTTGTGGGTCACCACAGCCCTACTTCCCAGTTTTTGTGAAAGGTACACACATTCAACTGAGTAGCTGATACTGCCTGCCTTATACCTGTACAAATATGGTACAGGGCTATATTAATACTCTCCGCACAACTGCATATCATCAAGCAACAGCAAGCACAATTTAAAGTGAGATAAAGCTGTTTCTCATGACTGTTTTTTGCCTATTTTCATAATCATAATCCTACTGTCCCATGTTCCTTACTTTGAATAATGGCAATCTGAATAAAGCACTAATTTTTCAGGCACGTAAAGCATGCATTACTCAAGGGTCTACTGTACTCATTTCTGAATTAGGGCCCTATTAAAGCCTACCTGGCATATGCCACACCCCATACACTCACCTTAGGGGTTTATGTCCAAAACTTTGTTGTTAAAAACACTGAGAACTTTCTTCTCCTTTCTAGCAAAGATCAACCCATCCCACACATTGTGACGAGCATTTAAAATGCATCATACCGCATATTAAAAATACAGACAGAATTATACCAAATCATAAATACTCTATCAATTTTCATAAAAGAACAATTGACCATCCCACAGTTTCCAAGCTCTTAAAATATGAAGTTATAAAGTCTAGATTTTCCTATCCTACTAAGATCATGTGCATCAATTTAGTTTCAACTACATTAATTCTGTAGTTCTTGACATGAAACTGAAAAAGGGTTATTATACTTGATTACTACCAAAGCTAAACCCATTAGCTTACTTTTGAACATAAAAAGTCACTTTTCAAAAAATCATTCACAAAACTAGGTTATTAAATTTCACAAATAGTTTCCTAAAGACTATCCCTGCACAGAATCTGCAGAGCAGTTTTTGATAATCTGCCTACCTTGATAGGGAACATCATGCCACAGTGAGGACAGTAATGCTTGATGACAGACTCTGGATGTTTGCGGAACTTGTGAGATATGGCAAGTGATACAGTGTGAAAGTTTTCCCCTGCCATAAGAATAAAAAGATTACAAAAGAGAAAAACTCTTTTACAACAAAAAAAATAATTTCAATGGAGAAAATTATGGAAACACTGATAAGCTATCAGTACATGATCATCAAACAACTAAACTAGCACATACTGTATGTAATGGTGCCATTCCATAAACATACTATTCATTCACTAACAAGATTCAAATGATATTTTCCTTTTAACAATCACATAGCTGAGATGCCCCTCATAAGAAATTACAGTGGTACCTCGGTATATATCCGCTTTGGAATACAGTGGACCCCAAGATTAAGATGTCATCGGATTAAGTAATAATCGGATTAAGTAACGTTTTTGCATCAAAATATGTACTGGCTCGGTTAATGACACTGAACTCGGTAAAAATCATTCGTCCTGAACATGTCCACGCACCGTGAGCAGCCTGACACTCCATGTACAGCCAGTGTGCCACTGTTTACCAGCCAGTGAGGACGATTCCACGTATACATGCGATACATTTTGTATTATTCCATTGGTTTTAGTGCTTGTAACTGCTAAATAAGCCATAGGCCTAAAGAAAGCTTCTAGTGCCAGCCCTTTGGTAAAGAGGGTGAGAAACACTATAGAATCCAAGAAAAAGTTTGTAGAAAGATACAAAAGTGGTGGTAGTGATGGTGATAGAGGGTGGTAGTATGGGCCAACAGTGTACCTGCTTTCTTATGTACACCAGGGTACTTCCCCACACAAACACCAGCCAGGGTACTTCCCCACACACACCAGCCAGGGTACTTCCCCACACACACCAGCCAAGGTACTTCCCCACACACACCAGCCTGGGTACTTCCCCCCCCCCCCCCACACACACACACACACACCAGACAGGGTACTTCCCCACACACACAATTTGATTTGATTGGGACTTGCACATGAGTGAATAGAATTATCAAAGCTTATTGCTTGGGAAGCATTGAAAATTGGGTTGGGTAAATACGATTCTGTAAGTGGGATAGTTCCTGCTTTCTTAGGTGCAAACATTTATGGATGAACATCACCCTGACACAGCTGTTGTAGGCCATGCTGGCAACATCTACAATGACAATGTTGTGTCCCGTTTTAGGGAAATCTTGAAGCGATGCCAGAAACAGAGCTCTCTGGACAAATATTTTGTGCGACAGGGGTCCAGTGGCTCTGAAGCTGGTCCTAGTGGCATTAAAAAACAAAGAAGGGAAGTAACCCCAGATAAGAACTTGGTACCTGAAGTCTTTATGGAAGGGGATTTCCCTTCCAAACAATAGTACACCTCCATCCTCTCCCCTCCTCCCTTCTCATCAATCATCAATGAGTCTTCAATAAAGGTAAGCGTCATTTTAGTAATGTTTTACTCTGCATGTCTAATTGTTTTCTGTGTAGGGAAATGTATATTTCATGTAGAAAAATTATTTTGTTTAATACTTTTGGGTGTCTGGACCAGATTAATTGTATTTCCATTATTTCTTATAGGGAAAATTAATTCGGAGTAAGTCAGATTCGGTATAAGACACTCTCTCTGGAAAGGATTAATTACGTTATCCAGGGGTCCACTGTAAGTCCAACTTGGTATACGTCCTGTTTGGACGCGAAAATTTTTGCTTGGTATATGACCTTTGTTTGGAATATGACTCGCGTGCTAGAACTTGTATGGGTCAAAATGAGTCACGACACTGAATGCTACCCTTGTTTGTCTCTCTTTCGAGACAAAGCCATGACAGCCCACTAGCATCAGTATGCCCGTTGCTACCATTCAGTGAACAACCTGCACTGTACCTCTCTGAATTTTCACATGATTTTGTGTTTTTACGTATAAATTTTTAGTAAAGTCATGAACCATGAGTTCTAAGAAAGTTAATGAGAATAGTGAAGCAACGAAGAAAATGGTTAGGATCACCATGGAGGTGAAAAAAAAAGATTGTTGAAAAGTGTGAAGGTGGCATGCATATCTGGGACTTGGCTGCTGCATACCGTGTGCCAAGAACAACGGTATCTACAATTGTGAAAAACAAAGAGGTCATTAAATCGGCTAACATTGCAAAGGGGGTGAAATCGATTACCAAACAAAGATCAGGGACATAAGAGCATGCTGAAAAATTGCTTTTGATCTGGATAACAGAAAAACAGTGCGCCAGCGATAGCGTATGAGAGGGAATGATTTGCAAAACGACAAAACTGATGCTTGCTGATCTTTTGAAAAACAAGGCAGGAACAAGCCAAGCAAGTGAAGTGTTTAAAGCCAGCCATGGTTGGTTTGATAATTTTAAGAAGAAGACTGACATTCATAGTGTTGTGAGGCATGGAGAGGGAGCCAGTGCTGATAAAGATGCCACCAATGATTTTGTTACAGAGTTTGGGGAATTTGTGGAAGCTGAGGGTTTTGTTCCCCAGTAAGTTTTTAACTGTGATGAAACAGGCCTGTTTTGGAAGAAAATGCCTAACAGGACTTATATTACACAAGAGGAGAAGGCATTACCAGGACACAAGCCAATGAAGGATAGGTTAACTCTCTTGTTCTGTGCCAATGCAAGTGGGGATTGCAAACTGAAGCCTCTACTGATCTACCACTCTGCAAACCCTAGGGCCATTAAAAAACATAACATGCAGAAAACTTAGTTACCTGTGATGTGGAGGCCCAACAGCAAGGCTTGGGTAACCAGAGAATATTTCAGCAAATGGTTTGATGTTGTGTTTGGGCAAAGTGTAAAAAGTTATTTAAAGGAGAAAAACCTGCCTCTGAAGGCTCTCCTCATAATGGACAATGCTCCAGCTTACCCTCCAAGCTTGCAGGACTATGTGCTGCTGGAGTTTGACTTATCACTGCAAATTTTCTTCCCCCTAACACAACTCCTCTCATTCAGCCCATGGATCAGCAGGTCATCAGTAATTTCAAGAAACTCTACACTAAAGCACTATTCCAGAGGTGCTTTGAAGTGACCTCTGACAAAGTTAACCCTGAGAGAGTCTTGGAAAGATCACTTTACTATTGCCCATTGCATAACTCTCACCGACAAAGCCTGGCAGGAAGTTTCATACAGAACAATGAACTCTGCTTGGAGGAATTTGTGGCCAGAAGCAGTGGCTGAAAGGGACTTTGAGGCTGTGTCTATTGTGGAGGATGCTGTCTCTCTGGGTAGGTCCATGGGTCTGGATGTGAGCGATGGTTATGTGGAGGAGTTAGTGGAGGGGCACAGGGAAGAGCTGATCACTGAGGAGCTGCAGGAACTTGAGAAGAAGGAGCACAAGACTAAGATGGATGCACTCTCTTCAGGCTCATAAGAGGAGATTAAGGATGACCCTACTTCATTAATCAAGGAAATCTTTGCCAAATGGATGGATGTCAAAAACTTTACAGAAAAGTACCACCCCAACTAAGCCCAAACAAGCTGTAATAGCATTGTCTAGAATGACCAGACTGTCACATTTCTGAAACATCCTGAGGAGAAGGTAGAAGCAAAGTTCTTAGGACAGATTTTTAGTAAAAGTCAAACCTGGTGAGCTTTAACCAGGTCCAAATAGGGAAAAGACACACAAAAGAGAAGGGGACTTGTTTACCGATGACTCAAACTTACGACAGGCTCTCTATCCGGTATGCATACCTAAATAATATATATTAGAGTTGATTTTCTCTATTCTGTTTATTACAATATACAGTACACCACTGTATAAACATTTAAAAATATACTAAAAGTATTATCAATGGTGCAAGGGTGACATTAAAACAATATCAAAGATGGCTGATACAAACCCACTACCATTATAGTATGCTCCTCACTTAGTGACGAATCCATTTACCGATGTGGTCTTAGGAACGGAACTCTCATAAAGTGAGGAAAGGTTGTATTTTTAATGAGAAAATTCATTTGGTATATGTCTTGTTTGGTACAAGTCCAAGGTCCTGGAATGGATTAAGGATGTATACCGAGGTACCACTGTATTATATAATGCATAAACTCTATATGAACACCTAACCAAAAATTTTAATGAATATGCAATCTTTGCTACTAATGCAACAATTTAAAAGATTACCATAATTATTATATAGAAATCTCTGGATACTATTTTCTAGGGTATAATCTAATTTACCTTTTTTAAAATAATACACGTAGTTTATTTTCTTTCTTATATTTTTTCGATTTTCATCAAAATTATGACTTAAAAAATTTACAATTACCATGCAATCAACATTCTGTAAATAGTACACACAGTACAGAAGTAAATACATATGGTAGACTGTCAAATAACACACAATCTGTTAATGTGTTTTCATTCTAACATGGTTGCAAAATTACGGTATATTTTTCAGAGAACACTGTAAAAATCTGTTTACATAGAGTACATGTAGGGGAAACTGTGGTTCATGCCACATACTTTCCCCTGTCTCACAGCAAGCTTCAGGGTGAGTCCACTGTCTTATAGGGAGGCCTACATAATGTACACTATCTCCTTTACCCAGTGCTTTGCTTGTACACATCCAATACCATACTTAGCCTGTATTAGTGAGTCAACTTTTGATCTTTTCAGTGACCCATTTCATCACTAAATAGTAACAATGGCACCAGGAACTAAAAAGAAACATAAGCATGAAAGTCTTGTTTCAAAGAGAATCGAGATGCTATATAAGCTTAAGAGTGGTGCACATGTGAAGGAGATGACATGAGCCAATGGCCTGAATGAATTATCAATTCCCACAATTAAGAAGAGTGAGGGAAAGTTACAAGTTTGTACAATAAGTAACCCAGGCTATGACCTAAAAAAAAAAAATGAAAAATGTATATACTCCCACCTGTTGTTAGGTAAGACACATATGCAACAGTTAGGTATCTTTATTATGAAACGTTTCGCCTACACAGTAGGCTTCTTCAGTCAAGTACAGAAAAGTTGATAGAAGCAGAAGATACTTGAAGACGATGTAATCAGTCCATCACCCTTAAAGTTTTGAGGTGGTCAGTCCCTCAGTCTGGAGAAGAGCATTGTTCCATAGTATGAA